CGTGCACCGGGCCTCTAGTATGCATATAAGATCTTTGGTTAATCTCTTCCTACCCTTCCCTCTTCCCTCTGAAATTCATCAGTCTGTTCCATGTTTCCATGCCTGTGGTTTCCGCTCCTGCATTGAACGTCTGCCCCCTGGTGGTCAGTGCATGTCATAACTACCAGTTGAACGGTCAGCCAGTCACTTAGGCTTTTATATATATAGATTGGGAACATTAAAACCTGTAAAGCATTTTGCACAGGGCCTGATATGTCAGCACTATGAAAAAAGAAATGTCAGCACTATGTTGTGCCTTATATCTTACCCCCCACCCAAAATAGAAGGCAGCACAAAGATAAAATTGGGTTTTAAAGAATCTGACACCGAGGTGGGGGGGGGGAGGAAGCTGAAGAGGATTAATGGAGGGGGAAAAAAGGAGACATATGTTAATACTTTCACCAATAAAGATTAAAAAAACAATCTGAGACTGGCCCTGCCAGGGTCACTGTTGGTTAGAGAGTCATCTCAATACACCAAGATTTCAGGTTCAATCCCTGGTCAGCATACATACAAGAAGCAACCAATGAATGCATAAGTGGAACAACAAACCAATGTTCCTCTCTCTCTAAAAGAGCAATAAAGTAAAAATGATCTGAGACTGATGTTTTTCAGTCAGCGAGAGAAGAGGAAAAATGCTTTAGGTACACTTTCCAAGTTGGGGGAAGGGGTGGCTAACCTCAGCTGGGATAGGGAATGTGGAGTCCAAAGAGGTCAACTGGGAGTAACCTGGACAAACCAGTCAGTTAACAGTCAAATCCTAACAGGAAGCTCTGTGGCTACAATGAACATGATAACCAAAGGGCAAACATGCCAAAACGGAATAACCAAATTGTAACACAAACTTTGGTTTATAATCTCATATATGAACGAGGAAAAGGATGTTTTTCACTGCTGATTCCTAGCGCCTAGAATAGAGCCTGGCCAATGTGGCTGTACACTGGAACCAACTACACATGCTGCTACCACAAACCACCTACAATAAAGGTTGGGAAGGGGAGGGCCAGAAAAAGGCCTGGGCTCTATATTGGACAGAGAAAATCCCCAACCTTTGTGGCAAGCTGGGGCTACAGAATGGGTGCCTAAGTGGGGGTCCTTTTCTTTCTATTCACACCTAGAGCAAATCTTATCCCATCAACTCCCACCAGTAAGTCCCCCAACCCCATGTTCAGCTGTAGTCTTGAATTTAAAACACGTTAACACCAGGAAAGGTTAAGGAATTTTCTTTATTTAATTATTTTTTTTACAAATTAAGACTATGTAGATTTCATATATTTCTGATCAAAAACACCTTTGTCTTCACAGTATGAGTTAGAGAATGCAGCCTGAGCTGAAAACCAATGAACTAGAAAAGAAAGTGGTAATTACAGTGATTACTGGTTTAAAAACCTGTTAGACATTTTCTTTAAAAGTATTTTTTTATTTTTTTAAAAAATACCTTGTCATTCTTGGCACTGTTTCTAAAGAAAAACTCCTTTATCCAAAGCATAAAAGCACAAGAGGTGGAGTTTGGCTTCAAGAGATGTAACTCATTCTCAGACCTAGCAGAGAATCAACAAATTTATGGAGTTGCTACTGGGGTTTAATGGGAAGTCCCTTTAGTAAGTTCTCAAGCCAGAGGCTGGAGGCAGCACTAAATCAAAGGGCAGCATCCTCCGTGGAAGTGAGCCATTCTGGGTGGCATGCCACCCCGGGAATACACACAGCCTGGGAATGAATCTTTTCATGGGATGGCTCAGGAATATGGTGCACTGCAAATCAGTAGGCACTGGGTCAAACTGTACTGGGTGTGAACAGGCAGAACCAAAAATGGTGTCTTTCTGGCAATAAGCTTTTAACGGCTCAGTCCCCTTACACTGAAGCCCTGTGAGTAGCCAGAGCCACAACTGCTCCAAGGCCTGTCCATCTGTGTCAGCTGACTGCGCAGCCCACAGGGAAGGAGCTGGCGTCCTATTAGCACTGCCCTCCCTCCACTTGTGACCAAGAAGCTGCAGGGAATCAGGTGTCTTGCAGGTTTGGTCACCTGGGCCCTGCCAGGAAAACTGCAGATTTATGGAAACAGGTGTACAGCCAAAAACTAAAATGCATGCGTAGAATAAACATTATCTCCTGCCAAAATTTCTGGCTTGACACCTTCTATAATTAGGTAGGACATTACCAGGTGGGAGATCACAAAAATGCACCAAAGAACCCTTATGAATGCTGCCTCCCAAGTCATCACAGCCCCATTCTGTTGATCTGAACAAAGAATCACTCAGTAGAGATTTTGTCCCAAACAAGCCCTTATCTAGGTTTATCTGACAGGATTAGTAGAGGCTCAACCATTACCCTCCCCTGTCCTTCCTCTCCTGGGATCTTTCATCACAACCATCTGGTGAAGGCCACTCAGCAACTAAGGTGATACCAATAAAATAAAGGCCAGGGGGAATTTGGGAATTCTAGGCTCTACCTTGCCATAAATAATCAGCCTTTCATAAGTGCCTGACACGAACAGTCTTCCTTTGGGCTGAAGTCCTCCCAGCTGGGGATGGAAAGCAGGCAGATTCCCTGAGGGTCAGACAAGAAACAGAAAAGACAACACAGAGATCCGCATTCCTTTTGTGATGGCAAGGCAGACAGGTGTGTGTGCCAGACCAGCAGTGATTTGGGCAGCTCAGAAGAGGCAAAGCATCCACCAGAGGAGGCTCTTCATGTTCTTTGTAGGGGTGGACTGAAGCTCAGATATAACGAGCCAGAGTAACAACAGGACCAGCAAACTTCCTTCCAAAGGAAAATACACCACCCAGTCCCATAGGAACTGGGCACCAACCACAGTGCTGAGGAAGGAAGGGCCGAGGTGGCTCTACCAAACAGTTCAGATCCACTTGGTACAGATCAGCCGGAAAGCGGACTCCTGGAGTTGTCTCCCTCTGCGGGTTCCACTCCTCACCACGGTGGACTGGCTGCCTAAGTGGAGGTTCTTAAGAAGCTAGGGATGGGGATGACAGAAAAGAGTGGGGAAGAACTCCAGGAATATGAAGCCAAACTCCAAACTATATTCTGCTAATCAGTTTTTTGATAAAAAATGTCAAAATAGAGAAAACCACAAAGTACAAAAGCTTTTCTGATGCTTTTCATTATCACAGAACACGCCACCTGTAATGTGTGCAAAGAGAAAATGAGGGGGCGGAGGGAGTGGAAGCCAAAATGGGAAAGGCTGGATGGTCATTTCATTTCACTTCTTCTCTTTCTTCTTGTCCTTCTCATTCATAGCCAGGATCATCATGAGTTTTCTGAAGAGAGTAACGAAGTCTAAGAAGAGGTCAACACAGTGCCAGATATAATCCTTATCTCCATTTTCAGCCTTTTCAATAATGAGTTGAGTATCAAAAAGGACAAAGCCACACATGACCATCAGCCCCAAATACAAGTTTGCCTAGCAAAAGAATGAGATGAGGTTACCATCTGGTAGACACCACGGAGGAAAAAAGCTGTATTTCTTTCTGGCTCGTGGCCACTTGAAAGAACATCGAATGCTAATCCACTGACACTGACATTCTTGGGAACTGAAGCCTATAGCGAAGACCTCATTACTTCTGTCAGCACAATTATGCACTAATTGTTTTGGTCACTGGAAGAGAGTCAATCATTTTAACAATGAGCTGCTGGCTGGAGAGACCTTAGAGAAATGATCTCTGAGCAAACTGTCTTCTCCTTAGCAACGTGCAACCCCTGTTTAATCTGAACTTTTACCCATAGAAGGCTCCATCCTAGTGGAAGTTAGTGGGGAGGCTTCAAGGGCACTGCCCAACAAGGTGAGGATTCTTGGTCTATCTTGCTTTAAGGTTAAGCAAGAAAAAGTGTGAGGCAAATAGCCACTAGAAAGTTACATGCAAAGACTCACCTGGAAAAGCCAAATGGATCCAAAGAAAAGGTTCCCCAGGGAAGACAAGAGCATCAGGCTCATGGCTGACATCAATATACCTCCCAAAAAGAGGTAACTACGGCGTCTGGCATAGAGAGCAATCAGGGTGAAGCAGGTGAATATCAGTGCTGTGCCCACGAAGGCAGTGGGAATGATGCTGGGGTTGATGGCAATGCAAAACTCCAGAGCAGGGCCCAGGCCAACCCCTGTAAGGAAAGCAAATCCAGCAAGAAGTCCCAGTCTTACCGAAAAGGATTAAGGAGGGGTACAGGCTTTGGACCACTCTGCTGAGCTAGTTTCTTTCCCAGGGCAGAGAGCAGGCCAGCCTGAATGAAATGAGTGACCACATGGACATAGGCCCCCGCAGCCGCCACAAACATGCAGAGGGCAAAACTGGCATAGACCTTCTTCAGGTGCTGCTGTGTGGAGGGGGTTATATGGGAAAATTTTAAGAGCGAATCAAAGTTGATCTTCCGATCAAATATGTTCATGGTGTCAAGAGTCTGTGGGACAAAGTCTCCACTCTTCTCAGCCGCCTCTCCGGAGCCCACGAAGCTCTGTTAACACCGGAAACACTTCTGACCTCACTAGATTTCTTGAGGATCTCACTACATTTATCAGCGGTCTCACCAGTCTTTTCGAGGGCCTTACTAAATTTATCGG